TGAGTAGTTCGTGGGGTCGTATTAACGATTTCAAAATGTTAATGAATGATTTCTTAAGCAAAGAGATTTTGTGAACTGGTAATAGAATTTATTGCTGTAAGCCTAGATAGGATGCGGAGAGTGCATCCTCGGGGGCAGAACCTGAAACTCGGTCCGGGTAGGCGAGGCACTTGGTTAGGTAAGTAATTTGTACTAATTACTTACTGAAGCCTGTAAAACGGTTATTTTCAGTTATATTTCCTTTGAGAAAAAGGATGTGAGGTTCCGGCTGTTCCGTCGGGATTGAATGTCTTATTTTATTTACTTATTTATTCATGTATTCCCTCGTACATTTATTATAACGTTTATTTCAAATTATATCCTACTGGGCATTTCGCTCACGTTTTATATTTTAAATGTACTAAACCCATCCCAGGAGATTCTAGGAGCGGTGCACAGTAGCTGGATATTTGCTACGGAGCAGCTGAGTTGTGCTGCTGTTGGAATCAAGTGAGGATCGTGGACATCCTCTTGGACAAATGTAAGGAATTTGAGAAATTCTGTAAACTTATATAATATTTGGATTTACTAGACTGTGGTTGATGTCTGTTGTAATGATTATTTACATGAACATGTATGTACGATACTGTATGTCCTGTGGGGTGGAGCCCTGTGTGTTAGAGGCTCCGGGATTCTGTAGTAATGAAATTATATTTTAATGCAGTCAAATGTGGGGCCTGGTTGGAAATCTGCTTTATTAATCTCTAATCGAGCTCCACGTCACCCACCCCGTTTGGGGGGCGTGACATCTACCCTTAGCGTTCATAGTGGAAAATGAAATGCTTTTGCCTTAGCGTTCTTGTTAACGCGTCTTATATTGGATATATAATTCGTTGTCAACAAAAAGAAGCAGAAAATTTTGGGAAAGAAGTTATTTATTGGAAGATTGGATACCCCTTTTTATTTCTTTTTTGTCGGATTCCTGCAGTCAATTGGCAATACTTTCAATGACCGAGAAGATAAAATGTATATGGTTAACTTGGTAATAACGTAACCTCATATTATCCCCTCAGAAAAACTTCGAAGACGTTTACACGTCAAATCCGTGGCTTATTAATGATATTTTATGAATAGGTTATGGTAATTTACTGACCACAATATTTCTACACTTACAGTTGAGACAAATAATCAGTAATTATTAGTCCGTATCCATGTATCATTGTTTTTGGTTTCCATGTATGAATTGGATTATCAAATTGCTCATCTTATTATTCTTATTTCAAGTAATTGATTTCAGTGTTGGTTGTCAACAGAACAAGAGTTTTAGTACAACCGATTATATTCATGCAATATCATCAGTTGTAGACAAACAAACCACAAGGATAATGAAATCAAAAGCACATGAACAAGCGCGAAAAAAAAAATTTTAATAAAAAGAAAATGAATCATCCTCTATTTTGTTTTTTGAGTAGCTCTAGTATATGCTTCAGCCATATACAAAAGTATTAATAGGAAGAAGAAAATAAGACTAACAAACATTCCCTACATGCATGATCTAATCCTTGTTCTACAACCAAAATGTTTGTATCAAATGATCTGACCAAAATGTTTGTGTTGTGTCAAGTCTGAATTTCTCAGCTTCATCAATGCATATGCAGTCTGATCTGACCTCCGTATTAATAGCTGAAATTAGATTAAAAAATGAAGAAGTTACTATCCTCTAGGATTTGTATCCAAAACTCAGTTCATTTAAAACGACAAACGCACTCACTAAAATAGATTAGTGAAAAGTGTTAGGTCCGTTTTTATCCTGGTGTCACAAGTGGTGTTGCAACACTTTACCGTAACACTGTTTTTAACAGTAAATCTGAAATTAAACCAGCAAGGCAAAATGCAGACAAATAATACAGGAATGTAAAGAACACCAGAAAAATGATATCACAGTTCGGTGCGCACACCTACTCTACGGGGCCACGCCCAGACAATGAACAATCCACTAAGTTCAAAGGATTACACACACCAATCGGACTTATACACCCAAAGAATCTCTCATTGACGTTGTCGCCGCCGTGTCGAATCTCCTTAATGGCCTTGTCCAGCGAGCACCACTCGTCTTCAAAACTGCACGGCGAAATCCCTTCGGCTGGCCGTGTGCTTTCTCCCGAAAGCTTCTAATCCTTCTCCCGAAGGATGATCTTCAATCAACACATAAAGGCTCACTCTCTCATAGACTTTTTCTGAATATTTCTTCTATAAAAACTATGCCCCAAATGTCTCCTTTAATTTCTAAAAGCTCAAAGACATAAAAAACAATTTCTCTTCCTTCCGAGGCACACCCCTTCACGTACACACATGCAATATATATATATATATATATAACAATAATTCACGTGTAATACAGGGCAAGCACCAATTCAATGCTTTTTCAAATCAATCCGATAGCCAATTTCAAATCCTTCTTAATGTGCTAGATTTAGTTTGCACACACACATATTACCTTATAAAGCACATACCCTCACATCAAAGCATAGGCCACTCTCACTCTTATTCTCCACGTTAATGCACCCACATATATCAACAATATATATATATATATATATATATATATATATCTAGCCTTTATACCTTTTTCTCCTTTTCCAATAATAGAAGCACTCATCCTTAACAACACGTTCAGCTCTCTACCTTTTCTGCCGTTCCAACCTTAATAAAAAACCTCCCAAGCTTGAAGATTTTCCGGCCATTCATCAACGAAGTCAACTCTCCAATCTCTGTAATCAAAACAAATCCTTTGATGTAGCAACAGACTTTCCTTAAAGGACCCCCTTATTTGCTGTGCCAGCCAAGTTTACACTAAATAGCAACCAATCTGTCAAAAATAGTTTTCGACTAATTTGCCAAAAATAAGCCAATCACAAGATACACTAACAATCTCCCCCTATGGCTATTTTTGGCAAAACTAACAAAAAGAACTTATTACAGGATAAAAAATAAAAAAAACCAACTAAGGGGGTTAATTGAATTAAGAGTTCTCCTCCTTTTTGACAAAAGACAGCCAAAGTTAAAAAATAATACTAATAGAAAAACCTTTTAGAAGCTGTTGCTCCCCCTGAGTCATCTACGAGTCTTACTCTCCCTGAATGTAACACTCTCTTAATCTTGATATTATCACCTATCAAATGCTTGGACCAGCCACCATTACTACACACACAACCATTAGTACATGCTTCTAAAGAAGTATAAGTCCTATGACACCTTAAGTCTGATTTCCTTACCCAAACACGTCTAGGAAATTTATTTTACACATCAATCCTTACTTTAGGTGTCATTCTTGAGTTTACAAAATTTGGTGGATTCATGAGCATACCTCTCTTCAAAGCATTCAAATACTTGTAGCATCTTGGTCTTATATGGCCAGTTAAACCGCAATAATGACATATGGGAACAAACTTTTTACGTCGTGGGGGTGAGATAATACCTTTCTTACTGGAGATAATTTGAGGCTTAGGTGCGGGTGTGTCCTTCACAAATACTGTCTTGGACGTTGAGCATTCACTAGTATAACCAAGTCCATGACAATCACAACTAGCTTTTCCCATAGAGAGAATATGATCTAATTTGGTGGTGCCGGAATTCATCATCTTCAAAT